CCCAACAACAGATAGAGCTGGGTGTCATCTGCATACTGGTTTCATCACAGCCCATGCCTCTGGGCAATCTGGGAAAGGGGGCACATATAGATATTAAATAGCATCAGGGACAGCACTGCCCCTTGGGGCACTCCACAGTCCAATGGGTGCCTTCGGGATAGCAGTGCCACCCTTTGTCCCCAACCTTGGAGAAAGGAGGCAAGCCATTGCAAGGCAGGCCCCTGGACTCTAGTCTCAGCAAGGCGGTGGATCAGTAACTGATGGTCGACCATATCGAACGCTGCCGACAGGTCCAACAACAACAGCACTGCTGATCTGCCCCAATCCAGATGCCTCTGGAGATCGTCCGTCAGGGAGACCAGTGCTGTCTCCGTCCCATGGCCTGGGTGAAAAGCAGACTGGAAGGGGACTAAAATGGAAGCATCATCCAAAAAGCTCTGTAACTGAGTTGCCACAGCCCTCTCAATTATTTTATCCAAATAGGGCAAGTTGGAAACCAGCCGGTAATTTGCCAGTTTGGCCGGATCCAAGGATGGCTTTTTCAGGAGAGGACGGACCACTGCTTCCTTGAGTGCTCCAAGGAACAGTCCCTCTGAGAGGGTCTTGTTGATAATCTCCCTTAGGGCACCTCGAAATCCGTCACGGCCAGCTTTAATTAGCCACGAAAGGCACAGATCAAGGAACATGTGGTGGGGGGTACAGTTAGGAGCAATTTGTCAACTTCCTCTAGGCTGAGTGGACTGAAATGATTCACAACCTGACTAGAAGACATGCATGGAGCCTCGAGTTCACTCACTGTCTCAACTGAGGCGGGAAGGTCACGGCGGAGCAACAAGACTTTATCTGTGAAATAGCTCGCAGAAGCCTCACAGCCAGTGTCCAATTCCCTAGCATTTGGTCTGCTGTGTGGCAGAGCAGTAATGGACCAAATCGTTCTAAACAGTTGGGCTGGGCGTGAGCTCGCAGACGCAAACATAGCCGCATAGTACTCTCTCTTTGCAGCTTTTGACAGCCATCTCATAGGATCTCATAAATGTCCTTGTAAGAAGACCAGCAATGTTTTATTCCAGGTAGAAGCACACTTTTTCTTCGGAGGGAGGGAGCCAGAGGGAGCACCCCAGAAAAAGAGAGAGAGTCCTTTGTTTAAGACCCTAAAACGTTTTTATTCCAGGTATGGGTCGGGGGAGTCCTTTGTTTAAGCCTGCTTGTCATGCAAGGCGGGATAGAAATCAAAATAAATAAATAAATAAATAAATACCCCAAAATGTTTTTATTCCAGGTACGGAGGGGGAGTCCTTTGTTTAGGACCCCAAAATGTTTTTATTCCAGGTATGGGGGGAGGGTCCTTTGTTTAAGAGCCCAAAATGTTTTTATTTCAGGTAAAGGGGGGGGGGAGTCCTTTGTTTAAGACCCCAAAACGTTTTTGTTCCAGGTATGGGGAGGGGGATAGTCCTTTGTTTAAGACCCCAAAACATTTTATTCCAGGCATGGGGGGGGGGGAGTCCATTCCATGGCCAATATCAGTGATAGAAAAGAAAAATAACCCTTTAACTTGTGCTTAACTTCATTCAACAGGGTCCTAAAGGTCACAGCCCCTGGACTGGAGTTTCTCAGTTTCTGCAGACATCCCAGAAGATCATCCAGTTTGCATCTGGCAAAGAGCCCCAACCAGGGGACACCATCATCTATGTGGCTGGGGCCTTTGACCTCTTCCGTATCCTGAGTCTGCTTCTTTCTTGGGGTAGTGGTGGATTGAACTAGGGGGAGTGTATTTGAGGCACATTTGGCCCTGCATCCTTCTATTCATGGAAAAAACACTAGTGAAGTTTAGTTGCTCATTCTAGAAATGCTAATCCCATGCAGTTCCTTGGCCTCTTGCTGAGAATTTCCCCTGCAGTAGAGAATGTACTCTGAGCCCCATAGTAAACCCCTTTTCATTTCTTCTTAAAGGCCATATATGGTAAGAACCTTGTACTAAGATAGTTTAGTCCAGGGAAGTTAGATGGAAATAAGTGATTTATGATGCTCTGATGCAAATTCCAAACTCCTGCTAATTAGTGTACCTCAAGGAAATTAACTTTGCCTAGTCAGTCAATATGATGTCTTCAGCTAGGATGACTCCCTCTGGTTAGACTGGGACTGGTGCCACAAGAACTATTGAGGGGAACAGTATGGGCAATAAAGGATACACACAGACGTACTTTTAATCAAGAGATGCCATGTCTCTCTGCTGGTAGAGCAAGCCTAACTCTTTCCCCTCTTCAGCCATGATGAATTTAAGAGGCATGCTTATAAGTTATTCAGGTGCTGATATCAGTTTTCTGCCTTGCTTCTCCCCTCAGTCTTTATGTAGTGCAGCACAAACATTCAGTTACATATTCATAGCGTCATTTATTTTTTAAGGGAAAAAAGCTGCAAAGCTGATGTGGACCAATAGTATATATTGGTTTGTGATGTTGCAGGCAGCATCCAATCAGTGCTGTACACAACTGGCTTCTGTTGCCAGCTGACAGTACTTCCCTTGAGCTCTGTGCTGGGCAAGGAATTGTACCTCTGTAAACAGCTCAGTGAGTGTGCTTCGTAACCATCTGACTGCTCCCATAACATATGCTTATGTGCACTCAAATTCAGATGTGCTGAATGATTGCAGCAGTTGCGTGCTACAGGATTTCTTCCTTAATGTGTGGATCCTCTAGACATTGGTCATGTGGATTTTCTGGAGAAAGTGCCCAAGTTGGCAGAGCGACCATATATCATTGTGGGGCTGCATTTTGACCAGGTATGTCTCAGTGCCATAGTACCAGGGCTCAGGTAAGGCAAGAGGTTACTTAATTCCTTCTCATCTAGGACCATCTGGGCCAAACCAGTGCTACATGTTATCTAGTCATATATAACAACCAGGAACTAAACTTCCAAAGTATTCTGAGTCCTAATTCTATTCAGGAATGTTGTATGAGAGGAGGAGGAACAAATAGGGCCCCCACAGTAGTTTTGGCTTGGGAAAATGGTGCAGGAGGGAAGGCTGGACTGCCTCCCACCCCACCCCATGCTCCCAAGCTGAATTTGGTCCCAGACTGCTTGGGAACTTTAGTTCCCTGATGTTATCTATGACTGCAAGTCAGTTCAGGGGACCTTCAACCTACTTTCTGTTACATGTATTGTCCAGCTAAGCCCTGTTAGGAATGTGCCTTATTTGTGCTGGTGGCAGCCCTGTAGCTAGGGAATTCTTCGGTAGGGGGCCTCGGGGGGACCGCCAGCTAATTAAATGGAAGTACAGTGCAGGTGGTAAGTTGGAGCACTTTGGGGGCAGCCCAGAAGGGAGGGGGCCCAGAAGAAACACTAGGGGGCCAGGCCCCATGGTCCCCATGTTAGCTATGGGCCAGGCTGGTGGTGATTTCTGTTCATTAACCCACAGGAGGTGAATCTATACAAAGGCAAGAATTATCCCATCATGAATGTGCATGAACGAACTCTCAGTGTTCTGGCTTGCAGGGTGAGTATGTGGCCCCGATTTGCTTCTTGAGAACTTACTTGTTCCCATTACTTTATAGAGCATGCAACCTAAGCTAGGTCTGACTTGACTGGGATGTTACTGGGTGACTTTCCAAGGACATGGCAAGTGCTGAAGAGTGTACTCTGAACTGTACAATAGCTGGATTGCCTGATAAATTAGTTCTCCAGCTCAGCACTAGAGGGTCCTTATGCCAAGGCCCCAACCATTGCAGTGAAAGTACACTGTTTCATGTTCTCTACTTTCCTGGCTAGTGAGGAGTTCCAGGGACAGCACTTCCTGGGTTGCTTCCCTTTAGAGGAGAAAGCACTGGGGACTTATGGTGGTATGTCTTGTAATATCTGCTTCATTTACAAATACACAAGCAGACCCCTGGAGAGGCAAAGAGGCACTCCTACAGGACAGCAGATCTGCTGCCTGCATCCTATCCAAAGAAAGAGAAAGATCCTACAGCCAAAGTGCTTCATCTGGCTCACAACAGTCTATCCTCTCAACCTGTTCTAATATTAAAAATGCTGTTTGTTCATACACACAGAAAAAACAGTATTTTGATTGGAAGAGATCATCACTTTCATGCTCTGATGGGAGCTCAAATATAGCCTCCTAATGATTCGTGTTTCTGATGAATCCACTGGCTTACAGAAAATTTTATGCAACTGTTAAGTCACTCGCTTAACAAAGTAGTCGGAGAGTGATTCAGCAAAGATTCAGCTTTATTCCACAACTCCAACACGGATCAACATCTGATAGCCAGAACAGCTTTTACATTGCCGCTGTCCTGCTTTTAAACTCTCCTGCTATACAATTACCAACCAATAAGGTTGTATTCATAAGGACCAATCACGGACGTTCCTGCTCAGGGTGCTTGCTGACAAGTGATTGGTTGGTGCTTCCTCGGCTAGCAATGTGATTGGATGTATTTGGATCCTAGCCCAGGACGAAGCTTAACATAGCATTTCAATTAGATGTTTTCATCACACATTATGCATTCAGTGGCAGCTTATTGAATACATTACAGCAACAATAAATGTATAAGTCTTTAAGGTGACACAAGCAGAAGGCTAATATGGCTGATGCCTCCACCCCCACCTCCATTTTCTCCTAAGGATTGTGCCTCGTTATGGTGCATTAATATTATTTTGTCCTAGGACCTAAGAACATAAACCAAGCAAAATGCTCAGCATTGTGACTGAGGAAGGAGAAATGTAATGCTTTTCTAATTCTGCACATGAATTGTTTTCTGTGTTGAAGTGGAATGGAGGGCATTTGTCAGAGTTACTCAGTGCTTTTGCAGTCTGCAAGTGGGGGGGGGGTAGGGAGAAGAGCACCAGGAGTACTCTTTTCGATTCACTCTCTGTGTCTAGTTTTTCTGGGCGCTCTCAGCCAGCGGTGATTTAAAATGTTCCTAGTGCAACTTACGTTATGCATACAAAGCTGAGTCATTTATGCATGGTGATGTAAGAGTTTTGCACTAAACAAAAAGCCATGTACTACAATGTGGTATTGGGATAAATGTTGCCAAAACTGAACTTCTAAATAATATTCTTTCTGTCCTGTTGCTGCATCAGAATAAGGATTTTAAAAATTAAGAGGAATAGAGATGATATGCACAGGGGTTTAATAGGTAATGTGTCTTGGGGCAGAGAAATGTAGACTGGAGTTCCTGTAGAATATGCTGTGCTAAATGCAACTCCCCTGATGCCACACAGAGATCAAAAATTGATCAAGTCTATCCATACTTTTCTCTCCAACCATGATAGCTTGAAACCACTGATTTTTGAAGAAATCTGAAATTGTCTAATATCTCCAAGAAACTATTCAACTTTTCTTTCTGTCCCATAATTGATGTTGGTTGCAATGACGTTATGCAGATTTACAAATCTCTGCTTTTTTTGAATGGCAGTCTTATTAGCACGGTCCAAAGGTCTGTGTCAATCAAGGGGTAGGCTGCTGTAGCTGCTGTGGCCTAGTGAAACTTCCCAGTGCTGCAGATATTCCTACTGTACCCTTATATTCAGAATGCCGTAATGGAAAACTAGTGTCATAGTTAGCTTTTCTCTGCTTCTCTTTCTCCAGTATGTTTCTGAGGTGGTGATTGGAGCACCTTATGCAGTCTCTGCTGATCTGCTGGATCATTTTAAGGTGAGTCTCCTTTGAGTGCATGTGTTTGTGTGTGATTTCTTTCTATATAGCTTTGCATGTTTTCAAAAAGCTCCTGTCGGCTGGAAAATATCCATATGCATAAACATTAGAAACTGGATCATGCTTGATATAAGGCAAGGTGCACATTGTTATTGCTATTGAACCATGGCGGTGATATCTTCCTTCCTTTCATTTTGAACACCAATCTTAATTGGGGGCTGGTAACTTGAGAGCTGTGCAGAGGGGGCACCGTTTGGTGTAGCCAGTTGCTTTCCTTGGGAGAGGGGAAAACCCCCAGGATACATGTGCACTTAAGTAGATCTGCAGACCTGAAGTAAAAAGGAATGATTTAAAACTGTTCCCAAACTCCTTCAAACATGGGGAGATGGTATTTCTCACCATGTATACTATCCAGTAGGGGTCCCAGACATTGCATCAGAATGTGCACTCATATGTTAACAGCAATTCTAGTTCTGCTTCTGGGTGCTGGCCCTGATTTTTTTTTTATTTGATGCATTGGGAAAAAATCTGTAAAATTAGTTTTACCAGGTGCCATGCTGGGATAGGAAAAAATGAATGGTGTATTGCAGACACTGATAGCTCTACAGTATAACTCTAAAAAGCTATGATCTCTGTGTGGCCCATGTATAGATCTCTGTTGGACAAGGGGAAAGCTTTTGCTGTGACAAAGTAATGAGAAGCTTCTGATATCTTCTGCTTCTGCCATGGTAGCTTTGGTTACACTTTCAGGATTGTTTGGCAGATGTCTCTCTCTACTTATAATGGGTCTGCACTACAGTTATGTCCCCTATGTCTGATGGCCAAGTTATAATTTGAGATTGATGGTGATATTTGCTTCCTTTGCAGGTTGATCTTGTATGCCATGGGATGACTGAGGTGGTACCAGACAGGGATGGGTCAGACCCATATGAGGTAAGAGGTTAGGAGAGCTGGGACTTTTTCTTTGAGCTATTGATATTCTTGGCCTAAATCATAGAACACAGCAGACAGACAGGTTTTCTTCTGGAAGGGATGTGTGTGCAGCAAGGTGATATAGATACATGGCTGTATCTTCGTTTTATACTTTGAGAATTGACCTTCTGTCTCTGTGATCAAATGCTAACCTTTTGTTGCGATGGCTGTAAAAAGGAACTGTAACCATAGTTGCATTGCCAACTTTTTCTGCAGCCATGACACATACAGGCTGGCTGTGGGCTATTGAAATGTATTTTGGCAAATGCTGCTTGCTAACTGTTTGAGAATACCCTTTCCTGCATTTCTCATAAGGCTCATTCTCTTCTCTGTAGGAACCTAAGAGACGTGGTATCTTCAGGCTGGTGGACAGTGGCAACAACCTCACCACAGATCTGATAGTGGAACGAATAATTAAGAACAGGTTGGCTGCCTTTGACTTGTATTCACAGTAGGATCTCCATACTAGTGTGCTACGAACTCCCCAGATCGTCTTCTCATTTTTTTTGGTGTTCCATATTAAGCAGGTCATATTACCAATAAAGCACCATTCACCAAAGGTAAAAGGAAGGAACTATAGTTAGACAAAAACTGAACATATCTCAACAGTAGCGTATGAATGGCAAAAAACAGGTCTTGGAACTAGGATTCTCTACTGGACAGCTCCCCCCTCCTATGATTTCTAGTCTGTATTGATGCCCAGCATAACAATACTACTGCTTTCTTGCCCTCTGCCACTCCTGAGAGTGCCAGTGTATTCAGAATTCTGTGAAAGCATCAGATACATTAGTGCAGCAGAATAAATAAAGCAAGCATGAATAAACCATAGATGTTCACCGAATTTACTTTGAGCACTGAATTTGGGCTTTTATTGCAGAAACTGGAGTGACATCCTAGTAGCCACCATTTTTCCTCTGCTTATGTGTGTTAATGGATGTGGTTTACCAGTAAAGGGCACAAAGGAGTTATGCAACTGCTTTTCAGCAGTTGGGCCTGTTGCCTGGACTTGCACTTGAATAGCTGCTGATAAGAGGAAGCTTATTGAGATTGATCCTTCTTGCACTTGATCTTGCACCATTTCCCTTTCTTTGGGTTGAAGTAGCTTAGGTCCTTACTAATTTCATCTATTTCAAAGAGGTCAATTAAATTAAATCTGACTTGGAGTTAGATTTTAAAAAATGCCTCGCTCCTGGCGATGAGAGAGTCTGATGGATCTTCTGGTCTTTGCAGGTTGGAGTTTGAAGCCCGAAACCAGAAGAAAGAAGCAAAGGAACTGGCTGTGCTGGAAGCCATGCAAAGAAGAGAGGAGGCCAAACAGAAGGCAGCTGTACCAGGCCAGGAAGACCATGAGAGCTAACATGGGGAGGAGTGCGGCAGAATCCTCCCCTCCTGCAGCTGCAAAATTTTCCTGGAGGACAGGATACAGCTGCCAGGAGCAGTAAGGCCTGTGGTCATAATCCTCCTGGTTTCCAGTGCACCAACTGCATTTGGGTATCCAGGGTGCTGCTGCTAGTCAGCCCAGGCCAACTTCCCATTGGAAGATTTTTAACATTTTCCTCCCAATAACAGTTTTTAAATCCAATTAAGATAACACTGTGTGGTTTTACCTTCTGACATATCGGAGCTGGGGAGTGGGGTCATCTCTGCTCATCTTTTTGACTCTTTACCTTTTACAGCATCCCTCTAATTTCTGTCTGTCAGAGACAATTTGGTAACCTTTAAAGTTGTCCTTCCTGGCCTGGCTCATTGCCTAAAGCACTGGTGGGGTACTCACTGGTGTTGGGCCAGATGCCCTTGGGCATTTACTGGATACAAAGAGAAAAAGCAGTTTAGAGCCAGTCCACTACGGTTTCCACTGCCTTGCATTTGGTACGTTTCCAGCCTGTTACCATGGATGGAGATTAGACAGCTCCAGGCTTCCCCACTGACAGACTGCGTCCTGCCTCTTCTGCACTCAGGCCATGTTTGTTGATTAGGTTGTCAGCTAAGCAACAGAAGGATGGGGCTAAACTGCCATATATTGCCACAGCGTTAAAAGTTTGGTATAAATATTCTGGAGATCTCACTGGGGCTAGAGCTGCTTCCTACAGCCTTGATACAGTGGGCACCTGACACTCTTCCACACTGGCCTTGGCATTCTTTCATAGTGGGACTGAGCTCAGCACACTATCCATAATATTTAAATGCTTTGTACTACCAAGCTGGATGTCATTTGACTGAGGCCCCCCTTTTCATACATTGCAGGGAGCACATTGGGGTTATGTGTGAAGATCAAGTTGTTTTGTTCTCTGGCAAGCTTTTTTCTATCAATCTTGTATATTTTAAGCAGTGGAAATTAATAAAAGGTTGATAACTTGTGTCTCAGTAACGATTATTAACTTGAGAAGGATTAAGAAGATGACTTTTAGTCTAACCATCTGAGAAAGATGAGGGTTCCTAGGAAAGAGAGTTGTCTGTATTTGTGATACACTAACTGGTGACTAGGCTTCCGCTTCCATTTGGGGGGTGAAATGTGGTGGTGTTTCGTTGTCATGTCTGTGAGGCAGGTCTCTGAACTAATCCCCAGGTAGTGTGACATCTCCTACAGGATTTTTTACTAGTATCAGTCAGCACAGAAAGTACCTGTCATTACAGAGACAGTTTAATCTTTAAGGTGAGCACAGAGGAGTTTTCTAGGGATAACCCTTTACCAGAGAAAGGGAATCAACAAAAGTGGCCAGATTCTCTTCTACGGGGGAAGAGGAAAGAATCAGAATCCCAGGTCAAGCCTATAATGGCTGGGGTCTTAACAAGATCAGAGAGGAGAGCAATTTCCCAAAAATATTTACTTAACTGAACTGCAGAGGACAGCAAATTTGGTTGTCACAGAGTTTATTTTTATTTACTTAATCTGAGAGTTGGAAGGGACCTCCAGGGGCATCTAGTCCACCCCTGCCAATGCAGGAATTAGTTATAATATTCCTGACAAACAGGTGTCCAATTGATACTTAAAAACTTCCAGTGATGAAGAATCTACCACTTCACGAGGGAGACTGTTCCAGTGTCAAACATACTGCACCATAAGAAAATTCTTCTTCAAATTTAAATGAACCATCCTTTGCTGTAGTTTATATCTATTAGTCTGAGTCCTGTCATCCAACACAACTGAGAACACAGCCATCCCTTTACCCTTCACATTGCAACCCTGTAGGTATTGGAAGGCGGTAAACCTATCAGGTTGCAAGCATTTCTTCTCCAACATAAATTCCCAACTCCCATAGGACACAGTCTCCAAACCCTTCATCAGTTTTGTCGCCCTACACTGGACTCTTTCCAGCTTATCGACATCCTTCTTAAACTGTGGTGCCCAAAACTGAACACAGTACTTCAGGTGAAGGCTAATCAAGGCAGTGTACAAAGGCAGGAATACCTCACTATTTGCTAATGCAGCCTAAAATCACATTAGCCTTTTTTACCAGTTCATCACACTGTGATCCATTAAAACCCCAAATCCTTGTCATGGGTCATTCTACCCAGCCAGGTTTCATTCATTCAATATTTATATGATTTTTATTACCCAAGCGCAACACTTTACACTTGTTCCTATCAAAATGCATTTTATTTGCCTGGGCCCAATCCTCCATCCTATCCAAGTCCAGCTGCATCCTATTCCTATCTCCCAAAGTATCAACTACCTCACCTACTTTAGTATCATCTGCAAACCTGATGAGTGCATTCTGTATTCCCTCATCTAAGTCATTTATAAAGATGTTAAACATTGCTGGGCCCAAAACAGAACCCTGAGGCACCCTACTAGTCATGTCCCACGAACTATCACCCCTTGAGTACAATCTACCAACCAGGCCTTGATCCACCTCACAGTAAGAGGGTCTCGAATCCATATCTCACCAACTTCTCCACAAGAACATCATGTGGCATCATGTCAAAAGCTTTGCTAAAATCCCAACAGACCTCATCCAGAGCATTTCACTGATCTACCAAACCAGTAACTTTATCAAAAAAAGAAATCAGATTGATCTGACAGAACTTACTCCTAAGAAAGCCATGCTGAAATTTAATGATGAAGCCATATCTCTGCAAATGTTCACAAATAGACCCCTTAATAATCTGTTCTAAAATCTTCCCCGGTAACAATGTCAAAATAACTGGCCAATAATTCACCTTTTCCCTTTCTTAAAAACAGACACATTACCGTTTTCCAGTTCCATAGTACCTCCTCCGTCCTATAAGATTTTTCAAAAATTAGAGAAAGATTTCTTATAACACTCTTGGATCCACAAAAATGGATACAGTATGTAATGGAACATATTGAAGAATTTGGCCCCTTTTCAGGATATAAAGTAAACAGAAGACAAAAATTATAACAAAATTCTAAACACAACAAGAAGATGGAATTATTGGCCGAATCTGCATACACAATTAGAATCAGCCCCATGCTGCTGTTAAGTATGGTTGTTTAAAGATGCTACTGTTCTAGTTTCAAGTTAGCATTGATTGATTATATAGCAGCCACTGATTCTATTAAATATCTGAGGATAAATGTGACTGGAAAAAACTGTTATCTCTTCAGAAATAACTATCAGAATACCTGGAAATTGATACAAGCAGAAGGGGAAAATTAAAACTTTAATGGCTGTGAAGAATTTCAGCAATCAAAATTAATGTACTGCTAAAATTATTTTTTTTATTTCAAATGTTACCAATATATATAGAAGAAAGAATACTGACAGAGTGGCAAAGACCAATAAATAAATTTATTTGGAATGGCAAGAAACCAAGAATAAGTTTTAAAATACTTCAAGATGAGAAAAAGAGAGGAAGGCTAGCAGTCCCAAATATAAAATTATATTATCAAGCGGCAGGCCTGGTTTGGATTGTGGATTGGATTAAAAATCCAAGACAAAGAATAGTAAAACTGAATCAGCAGTCCTAGAAGAAGGTTTACATAATTATTTATGGATTAAGAAATCAACCAAAATGATTATAACACAAGAAAAGAGTCATATAATTAGATACGGGCTTCTGAGAATATGGTTTGCACATTGGAATTTATTGAGTCCCCCAAATTCTCTGCTCATGTCTCCAATCGAAGCTTACCATGATAAGAATATGAGAAATAAAAATTTATTTCCAGTAACATGGTAGATACTCAGAGGAAACCTAAGTCCTGGCAAGATATTAGAGAGGAAGGCATTTACATTCAGTGGCTACCATATTACCAATCAACCTCAAGATCAAAGAAGGTTATCAACACGGGAGATGGAACCCTAAGAGAGCTGCCTGAATTTGAACAATTTATGCAAGTAGGAGACAAACTTAGAATGAGAAACAGTTTAATATTTAGAATGAGAAATAGTTTTAAGATTAATGTATTGTAATGCATATAAATGTATGTTAAACTGATTGAGAATACGTTTTGAATATAAATGTATAAGGAACTAGAATTATAAAGTTGCAAAATAGATCAGTAACAAAATTTGAAACTTAAAATGTCTCAAGTGAGGACCACTGTGCCTTATAGAAAAGGTTTTAAAATTGTGATGAAGGGGATGTTGGAGAGAAATATTTTTCAACTTATTGTTTGATATACCCCACAATGTATAACAATCTTTGATATACAAAACTTGTTAGATAATCCCCCCTTTTCTCTTCTGTAATCCTTTTTATTATTATTTTGTTCCTTAAAATAAATATATATTTTAAAAAATTAGAGAGATTCCAAGATGACATCTACCAATTCCTTCACAGGGTGTTTTTTCCAACCTGCTACATTGGGGGGGGGGGGGGTAGAGAGGGAATTTTTTTTTTCAAAAACAATGTTGCGTGGAAACGGTTAAGCACCCTCTTTCCCCTTGGTACCACTTGTATCAAATTCAAAGTTCCCTCCTCTGATGCCCTACTTTTGTGTAGATAAAGAAAAAAGTAAGGAGATTGAGTACCCATCAGCATTTTATCTAGATTGACCCAGATTGAGTTCTTCCTTTCTTGAGAAAAGGAGTGAATTGCCAGGATCAGCCCTATGAATCACGTCTAACTACATAAATCATCTTTGGAAAGTGACTTAGCCCGCCCTAGTGGCTGAGGGGGAAGGCCTTTGGGGAGGGTATCTAGAGGTATGTATTCAGAAAGTGTTACTCTCTCAAAAGGCAAATATTTGAAAGAAGCTGGGTGGAAATTTAATGTGAAAGTATTATGCACTTAGTTTAGAGACTCCCATTAATAGCCCAGCTGCTTCTCTTTGAATGTTATTTTCAGTAAGTTTAAAACAGAGTAAGAATGCACCTTAGAATACAGTGAGTGTTCATTGTGCGGGATTGAGATTGTCCTCCCTTTGATGGCACTTAAAATACGTCTAAGCAGGGGTCATTTTGTAGAAAAAGAGGTTCAGGAGCTCATTAGCATAACTCATTAGCATACCGGAAGTGTGTCAGAAGGCAACACCCACCGCTCAGGCTCTACTAGACTGTTTTGGATTGCTAGCTATGGGGGGGGGGGATGTGCAGATCTGTCCTCGCAGAGGAGGGAGAGCTTGTACCTGAATAAAACTTGGTCTTAAAGGTGCCACTGGACTGTTTTGGACTGGGGGGCCAACGGGGGGGGGGGGCTCTGCAACTTACCTGACTGCTTCTTGCTCTGACTGAGGGCTGCTGGGAGCAGGGGACGGAGCTTGTTGCATGTGCCCGCCCCCTGGGCTCTTTACTGCCGGAGCTCCGCTCCTGTGCGCTCCTGCAGGAAATGACCCCTGCATCTAAGAAGTTATGTGTATTGTCAGGAAGAAGAAGAGTTGGATTTATACCCCCCCCTTCACTCAGAGTCTCAGAGTGGCTTACAATCTCCTTCCCTTCCTTTCCCCACAACAGACACCCTGTGAGGTAGGTGGGGCTGAGAGAGCTCTGAGAGAACTGCTCTTCAGAGAACAGCTCTGAAAGAACTGTGACTGACCCAAGGTCACCCAGCTGGCTGCATGTGGAGGACTGGGGAATCAAACCCAGTTCTCCAGATTATCCACCACACTTAACCACTACACCAAAAAGCAAGCATGCCTGTACCTGAAGATCTATGAAGGCATCATACTTGGATTATATCAATTTATATCACCTGTATACAGTACATCTTCCTACTTCTTTGACTTTGTCTGCATATGTTATGCAATTACATGTGCCGTTTTAGATTACAGGCACATTTTTAATGTTCTCCATGAAAACTCCATGTAAATAAAAATGAGCACATGAGGAGGAGTGTCTCTAACCCAGCCTTTCCACTTATAAAGGATTATTAATGTGGGGGACCTTTGAAAAATGCAGTCCCTTACCCAGAACCTCAAGCAGTAAAGTCTGTTCTGATACCTGATTCTGTTGCAGTGTAAACTTGGTCTGTAGAGGGAAGCTCTCCTGTATCAAAGACAGGTGCACATAAACCCATTCCAGTGACATGCAGGTAATGCTGCCTGGGTCACGCATGGAGCATACAGCTAGTTTGGGTGCACATTTAGAGCTTCCACATATTTCAAAGGGGAGTGATATTTGTTAGTTTGTGTTAAAGAAGGCCTAGGTAGAATTGATTGAAAATCAACTATAGTAAACCTAATGGTCAAACAAGGGATTGCCAAATTCCTGGTGGGATGTGGAGATCTCCACATAGATCTCCACATAGAATGTTTTTGCTGCCAAGCCCAAATTGACTTGATCAAGGAACATTATCTCTTACAGTGCAACATCAGGCATAGGCACCTCCACTATAGGGGTGTCTGGATACAAGGACTCCATTCTCAGACTCTCTGCCAGGAGTTCCCAACCTTTTAAAGCCAGCCAGCACATTTGGATGGGGACAGTCCCCTGAACGTGGGGGTGTATGATATACAGTTGTCCAGACGTTATTTTGGGGTTCAGAGCTTTCAAATCCTCCTCAGTGTTTCAGGTTGAATTCATTAATAAGTCATAGAATCATAGACTCATAGTGTTGGAAGGGACCTCCGGGGTCATCTAGTCCAACCCCTTGCACAATGCAGGAAATTCACAAATACCTCCCCCTCCACACCCAGAGTGACCACTGTTCCACGCCCAGAAGATTACAAAAAACCTCCAGGATCCCTGGCCAAACTGGCTTGGAGAAAAACTGCTTCCTGGCCCCAAAGTGGCAATCAGCATTTCCCTGGGCGTGTAAGAAAGGGCCACAAGAACGAAGCACTGAGGCAACCCTTCCTGCCCTCCCTCTCATGATCTGTCTCAGTTCACTGAAAAGTACGCAGACGGAGAGTGATTTCAGCAAAGCGTGCTTTATTCGATCAGGAACAAGACACCTCCCAAGGAAGCCTGTTCCACTGAGAAACCGCTCTAACTGTCAGGAGGTTCTTCCTAATGTTTAGCCAAAAACTCTTCTGATTTAATTTCAATCCATTGGGTCTGGTCCAACCTTCTGGGGCAACATAAAACAACCCGTACCATCCTCTATATGACAGCCCTTCAAGTATTTGAAGATGGTTATTGTTGTGTATTGAGCCTGAACTGCCCTTGCAAAAGGACTGAGCTTGGGATGCATAACAATAGATTGCTAGGATCCTAGAATGGACCAGTCGGGAGACAAGGATCCTAGAGTAAACCAACTGCGAAACAATAGAGTGTAAATAGCCTATCGTTGGGAGTGGGGTGTTTTGGGGTGTAACCCTTTTCAGGCATAAATACCTGGCTTCGGCCAGGGATTGGAGTCTTCTTCTTTCTCTTGCTGAATCACTAATAAACTATGAGCTGATCACTTCTATGCATCTGAACCCAGTATATTTCACTGGCGACAAGGATGGGATCCCGATGAGCGAGCCTGACCCAGCCTCCAGCACCGCACCGCACAACGATCTCGAGGACTCCATACCTCGCATCGCTCCACGGGTCATGGCTGCCGCTCCGGGAGTCATTCCTGCGTTCAACCCCGCTCACCCTGAGCTTTGGGAAGCATGGGTGGAGCAGCTGAAGTGCTTTGTTTGGTTCCAAGGCATAGACGATGCCGACAAGTAGAAGCTGCTCAGCACATGTGGCATTGCCATGCTACGCCTAGCCCAGGGCCTCATCACTCCTAAAATCCTTGAAGCAGCCATGTACGATGAACTCGTCAAGGCCCTCACCGGCCATTTCGCGCCTCAACCAACCAAAATGGCTTCGGCCAGAGATTGGAGTCTTCTTCTTTCTCTTGCTGAATCACTAATAAACTATGAGCTGATCACTTCTACGCGTCTGAACCCAGTATATTTCAGTTATCATATCACCTCTCAGTCGTCTCCTCTCCAGGCTAAACGTACCCAGCTCCTGCAGCCTTTACTCATAGGACTTGGTCTCCAGACCCTCTATCCCTTCATCCAAATCATTCAGATTCAGATTTACTAATACGGTCAAAGACCAGCATAAATCATATACATGCATATACATAAAAGAATAAACAGATAATAAAAATATAATTTAAATTCGATAAAAGATATCTCATCCAAATCATTTATAAAGATGTTGAACAAAACAGGTCCCAGGACAGATCGAGGCATTCCACTTGTCACTCCTCTCCAAGAAGACGAGGAACCATTCACAAGCACTCTTTGGGTGTGATCTGTCAACCAGTTACAGATCCACTTAAGA